TATATATATATATATATATATATATATATATATATAGGCTGAACAAAAGGGGTCCAAGAACTGACCCTTGAGGAACCCCACATGTCATAGCCATTCAACTGGATTCATAACTTCCAATGGTCACAAAAAAACTCAGTTCCTCCAAGTAGGACCTGAACCTTTTTAAAACTGTTCCATTGAGTCTTGCCCAAGTTTCCAACCTGTTCAACAGTATACTGTGATTTACAGTGTCAAACACGGCATTGAGATCCAATAATACTAGAACTGACACCTTGCCTGAGTCAGTGTTCAACCTTATATCATTTAGCACTCTATTAAGAGCTGATTATGTACTGTGATGAGGTGGGAAACCTGATTGAAATTTGTCCATTAAAGTTCAAGAAATTGCTGAGTTGATCAAAAACCACTTTCTCAACAATCTTAGCTATGATTTGAGATAGGTTTATAGTTTGCTTATATGGAAGCATCTAGCGTTCTCTTTTTAAGAGTGGCTTAATAGCAGCTACTTTTAAGGGGTTTAGGAAATGTGCCTGACTGAAGTGAGCAATTGATTATTTGCTGCAAATCAGTTAGGACAGACATTGCAATAGTTTTAAAGAAGTCAGATGGTATAGTGTCAAGGCAGCAAGTTGATGGTTTAAGCTGCTGAACGGTTTCCTTTTATAATTTTTAGGTCAACTGTATTAAATTTTGACAAGGTTGTTGAGTTATTCCTGGGTGGTTTTAGGAGTTGCATCATTTTATTATTTTTGCTGATTTGTGCTGATATTTAACCGTATGGATTGTATTTTTTCACCAAAATAGCAAGCAAATTCATTGCATTATCTGTTGAGAGGAGTTCTGGAGCTATCAGATTAGGGGGGTTAGTAGGCTTATCACCATAGCAAACAAAGTGCGAGTATTGTTGATGTTCTTACTTATGATTTCCGAAAAGTATCGCTGTCTAACTCTGAATAACTCATGGTTGAAATTACAAAGACTTTGTTTGTAGAGGTCATAGTGAATCTGCATTCTGTTTGTAAGGCCTTTACCATCAGGCTCACCTCCGTGGTGTGTCAGCTCAAGGTTGTCTTAGTTTTAGTTTTAATAGGAGCAACAGCATCCATGACATTTGAGATTTTCCAGTTGAACTTATCCAGGAGCTCATGAACTGTCTCTGCACTCACAGTTGGTGACACAGCTATGGTCTCCATAAACTGAACAGTAGGGCTGTAGTCAACCAAAGAAAATCTTGGTCGACTAAAGTCGCACATAATTGTCAGCTAATTGATTAGTCTTGGGATAAAAAAATTTTGCATGTTATTTTTACTTCTGTGGTGGTGGTGGTGGTGTCTGTGTCACTCTGCAGTTACACCTCCAAAACACTAGTTGGCGGTGGAGGACTGTGTTAAGTGCTGTAAAGTTTAGTTCAAATCAAACTTTATTTATATAATTGATTCAAAACACACATTAAATATGGCTTTATAGAGACAGAGACAACACCAGTAAGCAAATCAGCTTCACTATAAATCGCAGAACTGACAGACAAACACTTGTCTTTATCTGGACACATTTGCCCCACCAATACAACATGCTAACGTTAATAGCACAAGTCTATGGCATTTTACATTGTATAAACTAGCCTAGCATCTAGCGATCTTTTCCTCTTCTCATATAAAACCAGGGACAACAGCAACATGTAACAAAGGTAACGACACATAATTTGGCTCCATTACAACTCAAAACATTTACTGACAAAACATCTGTCTTATACTAAACGTTTTCCACGCAAATACAACATGCTAACTTTATTAGCGCCAGCCTATGGCATTTTACATGGTATACATTAGCCTAGCAACTAGTGGAGATTTCCTCTGCTCATATGAAGCCTGGATAAATCCCTAAGTATAAATCCCTGAAGGATAAATCACACACACGACTTAAAATGCTATTTTAGTGGAGGCTTTACTGTCTTCACAATTTATTGTTTCTTATCTGTGAAATACAAGTAAATACAAGCTCCGTTTCCACTGAGGGAAATGGTGTCAGTATACAGAAACTGATAGGAGGTCTGCGTCACCGCGACACTGAGCATGAGGATGGGCAAGTTCAACTTTATGTCAACAACGGGGGTCGTTTGAAAACACCCCCATTTTCACAGGTAACTTAGCCTGTCCCTCCCTCCGCAGGAAATAATGGATTAATCCTGGAAAGCTATTGATGTAGCACTTTTCTCCTTATGAAAGTAACACGCCGATTATTCGACTAATGAGAATTTGGTCTGACGAGAGCATAACGACCAAATAATCGACTAGTTGACCAGGAGACTACAGCCCTACTGAGTGGTATTTTCATTTATGTACCTTTTCGTAATAGACACAGAGTTTAACTGAACAATTGGAATGATCTGTAAGTCAAACAACACAGAGAAATAATCAGAAAGAGACAAGTCCTTAACATCAACAGAAGAAATGTAAACACCCTTAGAGATAACCAAATCTAGAGTGTGGCCTTGAGTGTGCGTAAGCCCTTTCTCATGTTGTGAGAGGCAAGTAGAGAAGAGAGTTCTTAGGCAATACTGTGCATACAATTGTCTACATGAATGTTGAAATCCCCTGTTATGACTAAAAAGTTGTAGTCAGTACAGATAATTGACAGCAGTTTGGCAAACTCCTTGATGAATTTTCCAGAGGATCTTGGAGGTCTATAAGTGATTAAAAAAGTACCTTTTACCAAAAAGCAAAGATACTCAAAGGAGGTAAAATCAAAGACTTCATCTTGTGATTCAGGTTCTGCTCTTGCTGTTGTCTACTCTGCTTTGGGTTCAGGTGACAGAGCCTTACCGTCTGTGGGTAAATGCTGGCCCATGCTGCTGACAGAGACTCCTGTGTCAAATGCATCCACAGCTGAGCCTTGTACTGGATGTAACCAACTGTCAGTCTTCTATCAACAGTGGTTGACGCTGGTCGTCATCAACATCAACAATAATGCCTTTTTCCCCTTTATAGTTCGCTGTTGCTGTGATCACCAGAGTGTCTGACATTTTTGTCTGCCTGACAATTTTTTTTCTACAAGTATAAATAATTTCTACACACTTACAAACTGCCATTTCTCCAGCAGTTTTTGACAGGTTTAAGGGGTGATTTATGAGCATACACCTACTGATTATCATTTGAAAAGCTCAACATCTCTCTATATATGCTCTTAAAAACTAAGAGCATATATAGACACCACAGATAACTAATCTGAGACAACTAGGATTTGTACCGAGGTTCATTGTAAACTCTGACTTATTATATTCACAGACAAGATGTAAGGAGGTGTGTTTTACCTGTTTGACAGTTTCGACTGAGACTCCAGTCTTCCTCAGAAGCGTCATCCGACGTGCTGCTGACGTGTTATATATCAGCTGGTAGGCCTGACAGACCAATCAGAGTCTTTCAGGCCAACCCCGCCTCCCGCGTCGTTGTTCGTTCTCTGGAGTGGGAATCCCAGGTATGCGAGAGGGTGTACGCCCCCTCGTCACGGTTGATGGTGCCGCTTGCCCGCTTCCTGATCTCAATGGCCTCTTTTTATCCACAGTTTGAATTTATTGGTCTCTGATGTGATTATTTTGCTCCTGTCCCAGTCCATGATGTGGTTATTTCTTCTGCAGTGTTCTGTGATGGCTGATTTTAGGTTTTCCTGTTCTGCTTTGTCTTTTTGTGTCCTTGTGAATCGCCCCGCTGTCTCTTTTTCGCATTCTTTTTGATGTTCTTTGTCAAGCAGGTAAAACACACCTCCTTACATCTTGTCTGTCTGAATATAAGAAAACCTTAAAATATTCTAAATAAGAAGACAGTATGAACCTTATCAATCTATACATCTCACTGTTAAGAAGCAGAGAAATAACTTCATTGAAGCCTGAATTCTTTCTTATTCTGCAACATGTTAGTCTGGAGGTTTAAACTCTTGTCCTCACAAAGTTGGTGATTAAAACTAGACTTTCATCTCTGTCAGAGAAAACTCTGCTGAGTTCAGACTGTTTACTTACAGAACAGCTACACTCAGATAACTGAGCCTCCTATCTGCCTGTCAAACACCATCAACCCAGAAACTTTCCTGAGACAGTCTGAACTGAGTGGAGTCCTACGGGCTTTCAAAGTCTGATAGTCCACCACTAACATTTTCGTCCTGTGTCGTCTCGTCAATAAAAATGAAACCTAGATTTTGTCTGTTTATATCATCAAGATCTATTTTTAGCTCATTGTCTCGTTTTCTTCATGGAAAAAAGGTCGTTGACGAAATTAACACTGCTACATAGAGAGGTATAACTAAGGCTATAATGCTACAGTTATGGTAAAATCCAACATAAGTTAACCTGCTAGCTCACAACGATGTTTATGACGGTGCACCTTTGAAGGTTATGATGTAGAGATTGTACTATGGTCATACTTTTTTTTTTTTTTTAACTTTCAGCGCAAAAAGTATTTGGCGAACAGTGTGGTTAATCAACATTGTCCAAAAAAAATGTAAAAATGGCAAAATACTTTAGAGGGGGAATTTACGGGACTACAACTACCTTTCATAGTACAATGACAGTACATGAACCATGTACCTTGAAATTGATTCATATTGCATTATTTAGTAACTGCTCAGCTAATTGAGAACTAAAACCTTTCCAACGTGAGATAAAGTAATATTAGTTACATAATCAGTAAAACATATTTTTCTGTTGTCACAGATTCCTTCAGACCAGGGACCTATGGCCTTGCAGATGATGAAGATGATCACCCAGCAGGATTGATCTAGCCACTTTGATGCCAGCTGGATAGCTCTGACAATCACAACTATCGCTTGACCTTTTTATATTCCACTCTGTGCTTAACTAAATCCAGAATCTGTGTGTCTTCAGCCATAACAACAATAAAGACACTCCTTTTTTGTAAACACTGCCGTGGCTTCTTCTCTGGCACAAAATCTAAGTGTTAAAAGATGCTTATCCTTATTCTTACTACATACCTGAGAAGCCTGGACACCTGGGTCCTGTTCTTCTAATGGGGTCGAAAGAAGTATTTCAATGCTAGAAAGAGTCTTTGCACAAAACAAGGCTGGTCTATGCAGTGGACAGTGGTTAAATGTAAAAAAGTAGAAATACTATGTTAAAGTACATTTTTTGGAGTATCTGTACTTAACTTGAGTTTTTATTGGTCAATTTTCCCTTTTACGCCACTACATTTTACTCTAGTATCTATGTATTTCTCTGTCCTGAGCATTTTCTGTTATTTTTTTTACAACAAAATAAAATCAGAAGGTTTTGAGAATCAGTGGTCCGAGCTTGCTAGTTAGTTTATAGGTTCATCCCATAAGGTCAAGTGCAAACGGGTGCTCTCATAGCCACAGTTGAGTTTGGATTTTTAGTCAGGCCCAGGCTACAAGTCAGTTTACATGCTACATACTAGTGAGATCATCCTCATGATGGAAACATATGGCATCCTGCAGCAGAGAGGGTGTATAATGACTCAAAGAGATAAAGATTTGTGACAGGTAACTGTGCGGCGACTGCTCCGCCGTAGTGTGTAAGCCCTGGACAGTCAAAGGTTTTCTTCAAATCCTTTATAAGACTTTGTTTTTCTTCATGTGTACGCTCCATCTTTTAAGGTTATGTTGAAAAGGCATGTTAAAAAAAAATAACCTTCATAATCCTCAGAATTCTGACGGAATTGTTTTTTGAATGGCTATTTGATGCCTGAAATAAGGTCTGTGGTTAACACAAGTTGAAGAGATGTTCACGTTTTGTTCTGGCTACAAGTGTGCAATTGGTTATTACCAGCAGTGCAAACAAATGGTTGTAATGTAGTTATTAAGCTATAGAGGAGAGGCTGTAGAGAGCTGTGAGTGCACTCTGACAGACGGAGGTGAGGTGTTATGGCTTGGGGGAGGAATGATTTCCTGTATCTGTCCTTGTGACAGCGAAGCTGTAACAGTCTGTTGGAGAAGGAGCTCTGCTGTCTGCCTCCAGTATGTGGTGAAGAGGATGGTCAGGATTATAACAGTTTGTTCAGTGTCCTCCTTTCCACCACTACTTCAAATGAGTCCGGTTTGCAGCCAATCACAGAGCCAGCCTTCTTAATAAGATTCTTAAGTCTATTAGTCTCACCGGTTCCGATGCTGCTCCCCCAACAGACTACAGCAAAGTAAAGTGCACTGGCCACAACAGACTGGTAGAAGAGCTTCAACATCTTGCTGCACACATTGAAAGATCTCAGCTTCTTCAGGAACTAGAGTCTGCCCATCCCCTTCTTGTACACAGCATTGGTGTTGGCCTTCCAGTTCAGTCTGTTGTCAAAGTGGATGCTGAGTTACTTGTAGTCCACCATGGTGATGTCCACCATGTCCGACAGGACGCTGCCCAATCGGACAAACTGTGGTCTGTCTGTCAGGTAGTCAGTAATCCAGGAAATTGTGGATGTGTCGACCCTCATTGCTTGCAGCTTCTCCCTCAGTAGCAGTGACTGGATGGTGTTGAATGCACTGGAGAAGTCAAAGAATGTGATTCTCACAGTGCTGCAGGGTCCATCCAGGTGCGAGGGGCTCGCTGCAGCAGGTAGATGATGGCATCGTCCACTCCTAGGTGAGGCTAGTAGGCGAACTGCAGAGGGTCCAGTGACGATTTCACCTGCAGTCTCAGGTGGGCCAAGACCAGTCTCTCCAGCACCTTCATCATGTTCGATGTGAGGGCAACTGGTCAGTTGTTGAGGCCAGATGATGTTGACTTCTTAGGGAATGGAACAAGGCATTGGGGTAGAGAGGTTGTGTGAAGGTCTGGGTGTATGTGGGTGGTGGAGGAGACAACAAAGGGCTGTGAACTAAACCTGTTGAAGAAACAGATCAGTTCATTAGCCCTCTCAACACTGCCTGCTGAGGGGCGCTAGCGAGCCGTAATGGAGTAAGACGCACTTTCCTGAGCTCCTGCAGAATCTCTTCAAATAATATATTTAACGACATCTACTCTCAAAATTCCACACTAAACGTGGTCACTGTACAACCAACACCATTCGGCGAGGTCAACAAGTTGCAGAACCGCTGTTGATGGCAGCGAATCTCAGAAAATACAAATACGAAGGTCGGTCCAACACAAGGTCAAAAACCTCCTCGACTGCGAGTCCAGACAAGTCCGACCTGGCCCCACCTGTACCCGGAGAAAGTACGAGCATGGACACCGCAACTATCAAAGCTGATATCTTTTCTTTGTTGAGAAAGGATATATCGTCAGTAATTAGAGAAGAGTTGAAGAATGCGCTAGCGGAAGATTTCGAGTCGCTGAAGAAGGAAATAAAAGACGTGAAAACTGAGATAGCTAACAGCACAGCAGCTATCCGTACGGAGGTTGAGCATATGAAAGCTAACATGAAGGCTGTCGAGGCTGGACTTTCAACGTGGTCGGATGAAGTTGTACCGGTACAAACTATGGTAAGGGACCTCAAGAAGCAAGTCGAAGAATTAAAAGAAAAGTGCGAAGACATGGAGGGGAGGATGAGGAGAGGAAATATTTGGATCACGGGTGTGGCTGAGCAGCCAGGGTCGGGCTCCCCCACCACGGTCTCCAAACTCCTCAAGGAAGCATTGCAGATGGACAGAGAGGTCTTAATCCAACGCTCACACCGCAGCCTAACACAAAGAAAACCCGGAGACAAGCCTCGTGTAATTATTGCAAAACTACATAACGAGGGAGATGCCATGGACATCCTGAGGAAAGCCAGGGACCGAGGTGGCCAGCTCAGCTACAACGGAAATCCCATCGCTATATTCCCGGACTACATGGCCAATGTCGCCAGAGCGAGAGCGGCTTTCACACCCGCCAGAAAGATGCTTCGAGGGAAATCCGGGGTCCGCTACGGTCTACTGTATCCAGCAAGGCTCCATATCTCCAATAACAATGAAGAGAGGGAGTTTGTGGATGCTACCAAGGCAATGGACTATATTAGAAAACACATCCTTCCAGCTGATGAAACGGAGGACTGACAGACAGTATCCTTAACAGGTATCAGGTCTGTATAAAAATGCCTATACTGCACAAGATTTGACTACAATCTGTAAAGCAATGTGATAGGATACGGCCCCTTTTGAATGTCATGAAGTGAACTTGATTGAAATGGGTTTATGTACTTATACACGGTGTAATCAGTAAAGTACTGTATATACACATGACTACACACCATTATGGCAAAAATAATTTTATTATTAATATACAGTTACATTTGAAACTTAAAATTATTAAGCTTAAGATGTCTTTATTTTTTATATCAATTTGGGGTTCTGCAGGGGCCTAAGGTGCACATCCATAGACTCAAGAATACTGTTTGGCTTCAACCCAAACCAAGGCGAGCCTTCTTGTATAGGAACTGTTCGCATAGCTGTATGTTCAAGCTGCAGCCTGGAAATGTACCCCCACAGGACCAATTGGACACTTATGTCAGCTGAGTTCTTGGTTCTTATAGTTCTATGTTCAGTTCTGTTTGTGAAGATCCCTCTGTTCCCCAGGGATCCTGTAAGAATAAGAGCAATAGTGAAAGTTTTCATTTTCACACTTTTTCAAGAGAAGAATCTTCTGTTAAAGCGTAAAAACTTAAAGGTACATGCTGCTGTTCTGCTCATAATTTTCAGTTATTTTATATGTAGCAATCAGTCTCTAACTGTACACCCACGCTCTTGTATATTCGATACTATTTTTTCTATCTTTTTGATTTACTTATTTTATGGTATTTTACCTTTTCTTTCTTTTTTTCCCCTCATATCCAAATATTCAACCACCTTACTTCTTCCTCCCTACACAATGCAACAATTGGTCTCTAATCACCCACCCACCTCAGCCTTCACCGTAATATATCTAAATATTAAATTTAAATTCCACTCCACCTCTAAGTCCCACCACCTGTATATGTTACCTGGCTCCACTATCTCACACTGGAGTAAATTAATATTTTTCTGACCCTGCTTCTGAACTATGGGATCTCTTAAGGTGATAAGCTATAACGTTAAAGGCCTTCATAGCCCAATCAAGAGAAGGAAAATCCTTAACCAATTAAAAAAAACAGCTGTCAGATTGCATTTTTACAAGAAACTCATCTTTCAGAAACTGAACATGAGAAGTTAAAGAAGTCTTGGGCTGATAAAGTATATTACTCATTCCACCCATCTGGGAGGAAAAGAGGTGTATCTATTATGATGCATAGACAGATCAATTTCACACTAACTAAAATTCATAAAGACTCTGCAGGGAGATTTATAATGATAAATGGACTAATCGAGGGACTAGAAGTATGCCTTATGAATATATATGCTCCAAACGAGGATGAGCCCAGCTTCATTTGCACAGTCCTCTCCACAATATTACAGCATAACTCTGGTATTTTGTTGCTAGGAGGAGATTTCAACTGTGTTATGTCCCAACATTTAGATAGACAACCTGTATCTAAAACATCCACCTCCAGGATGAGCAACATGCTTAGACATCTAGTGGCAGAATCTGGTTTGGTGGACGTCTGGAGGGGCAAACATCCTAAAGGCAAAGACTTTACCTTTTTTTCACATAGACATTCTTCTTATTCCAGAATCGACCTTTTTTTCACTCCTAAGACAGAATTTTATAGGGTAGATGACATTAAGATTCTCCCAATTACATTATCTGATCATGCACCTCTCGTACTGACATGGAACATAGGCCACAGGCCATCAACTAAACAGTGGCGGCTGAATGCATTACTGCTCAACGATAGGGAATTCATCACATTTATAAAAACTGAATTAAAAAATTACCTCGACACAAATATTTCACCTGAAATAACACCCCTTACTCTATGGGACTGTGCAAAGGCATATATTAGAGGCAGAATTATCTCATATACAGTACAGGCCAAAAGTTTGGACACACCTTCTCATTCAATGCGTT